CCGCGGCTGCACAGCCACGGGACGGAGCACAGCGGGGATAAACACACACAACGAGGAGCCTGCTTCTCCAACAGCTATCCAATTAAAATTGATGGCTTTTTCTGCTATGCACAATKCTTTCCGAAGCTCCTTAGTACGACAGAACTGGGTTTGAATGGTTCAAATAAAATACAAAATTTCTCAGCACATTTCCTGTGCTTGGGCACAAGGGAAGATGATTTAGGCATTCCTTGCTTGGAGAGGCTGATCTCTGAGAGGCTCTATGCCTGTGATCGATTCCTCATTGTGCCTGCCTGCTCACCTGGGAGCAGAACAGCTGTGCCCAGATGTGCCCAGATGTGCCCAGATGTGAAGTGCCAGGGCTCTGCCCCTGCTCTATGCAACAATCCTCAGCTATGCAGAGTATAATGCCCACATCCATAGCACCATGACCTTTTCCTTCTGGAAGGTTATAAGGCAATATTCCTCTCTATTGCARTAACTCACAGACAATTTACTGATCTATTTCACTTCTGCTTTGTGACTCAGCTACTGAAAGGCACRAGTGAAAACAATTCCAGACAAGACAAAAAAAATCTGCTTTAATTAAGTAATATGTTGGCTAAATAAAATCAAGTTTTATGCATTTGTCTTTACGAAGTCCCAGCAGGAAACCAGTATCTGCTTTCAAATGACAAACCAATCTAAGTGGTTCCCGCTGCGGAGACCCCTGATTGCATTTCATTAATTAAAGTACAAACGGAGCGGGATTTATTTATTTATTTGTTACTGTTTATTATCYTGAGGYTGATCYGTGCAAGGCTAAGAGTGGGAYTCGATGATCCTTGYGGGTCCTTTCCAACTCAACCATTCTGTGATTATTATCTATTTTAAGGCCAASTACCATTCGCTGTCGGGACTGCTTTAGCGGCCCCAAGTTGTGATTTCACAACCTGCTGTGTCTCCTTTGGAATCCCTCCGTGTCCGTGTGTCCTGTGGGACTCTGAAACGCCGTGGATGGCCCGAGGACGGGCGGACAGCGGGAGGAGGAGGAGGGAGCTCCTGCGGGAACCGTGAAGGTTCTCCTGCGGGAACC